ACAGTGAGACAAAAGAAAGCTTTTAACAAGAAAAAAAAAGAAGACCGGGCCGAGAGAGAAAAAAAAACCCAAACAGAAACTCTGGCCCACCCGGCATGCTGAGTAACTCAATCCCGTGGCGTGTTTTTTTTTTGCCAATCCCTTTCATCCCATCCTGGAATTTGGATTCCAAGGCTGGAACCTGCGTTGTGCAGGTGAGATAATGGTGAGTAATGAGAAGGCAACGTCCCAAGAAAACATGGGTAAACAAAGGAACAGAGAGTGGATGATCGTCCCTCGTGAGACATTCCAGTTTGGGGGATTTTAACGTCAGTGTGGAGGCCACCTGTAGGAAATATGTAAACACGGCAGCAAATAAAGACGTGGAATTGTATATGCGTCGGTTAAAAGAATCGCGAAGCAACCTCTCGTTTGAAACCAATTGCTGTAATCTGCGCTTATTTTATATTAAAGATGAACGATGGAGATTGTGTTATTCTTTTATTTTACCGATGCTCTCGATATGGTTACTCCGTCGCACCCTCAAAAGCTTTGGCTGTAGTTTAAAATGTCCCATTTCATTGCCATCAGTTGCAGGTTAAGTACATAAACTAGCCAATTTATTTCGCAAAAGGCTTGATTTTTTGTCTGGTTATTGCTTTGCAAATACTACATTTTAAATATAAATTATCCTGTAAGTAGCATCGATTTACCAATTTTACAGCAACAAGAAATGAAAATGAAATCAAAATTGCATTTGTAAATTGATGCGTGAAAAAAAAAACAGTCTTAGTGTTCTTCAATTTGTAAGATCACTCGGGTCTAAATTTTTACCACCTGATGACACACAAGCTTGCAAAACAGCAGGAAAACCGAGCCTCTGTTTGCATGTCCGAACTCAGCGATCGTAGCTTAATCAGACGAAGCAGCGATACTAAACAGTGCTTGTGTTACACGTCCAATAACCCGAGACCACGGCCGCTGTCACGACCCCTTCCCGCTGTTGTCGAAGCCGTAACTTAACGCTGACATTTTACCCCTTCGCCCAAAGTCTGTCCTCTCACTGAACTTTCAGAGCACGTACCTTCTTTCTTCCTCGCGCTGTTTACCGGGTGAGGGATCATCTCCATTGAAGGGGCTGATTGTATGTTTGCAGGTTTTCATTTCTGCTTTAATCATGCCCTGTGTCTGGTGTCGCCAGTTAAAGTGAACTTTGGCTCGGCAACATTTCCTCCAAAAACATTCTTCAGATGGCTGGGGCACAGGTGCGCACAAGTCCTTTGTGGGTATATAGACGTGTACCGTCGTCACTTTAAGTTGGAGCAGTACATCAAAGGAGGTCTATGTTATTGATAAGAGCATTACCTGCCCTTGCAACAGGGCCACAGTGACACGCGGGATCCCTTTAATAGTGGATGCACACAGTTAAAGGGTACACGTCTTATTATGGACATCAAAAATAATCCGTGTCATAATGTCACCCGTGAGAATGTGTCGCAGCCTGACATAAAATTTCGACGTGTGAAATCTGAATTATGATTTTTGTGTAAGTGGCCAAAATATATATATATCGCTGCTGTGAAACGACACGTGCAGGGAAATCATCCCATTTGTAAATTACATTGAAACCGGTTTTTTTTATTGGCAGAAGAGTAAAAATTATATATTTTTACTTAATATATTGCTGTATCAATGAGATAAGTAATAGGTAAACATTTCATTTATACCGTACAATATGCCTACGTACAGGCAATTGCTATGATATATTTCTAAAATGCATGTGTATATTGCATTGAGGTTACAAAGGGCAAACATTGAAATTTATTTAATTTGTGATTTAATTTAGTTGTTTTCATTTTTATAATTTTTTACCTACGTGACTTTACTGAAAAAACCAAAGATTATGGATCCTTGCAGTCACGAAAACTTCAAATCTATAATTAAAATTTCAGCATAATTAAAACATCATTACACGTGATCATCGACACTGAAGGTGGCAACACAATGTGCCATGCAATCAAAGTTACGTATTCAATTTTGGATTTATAAAGTGCCTGTCGCCAAAAATGACAAAAAAACCCGTTAGAAAATGGTGACTAGAAAATGAAAGGCAAGGTTCGTTACATTTCTGTGAGGGTAATGTGGGGGGTCCCATCTGGTGGATCCTGTTATCCACAAATATTCTGCACTTATTCGGATGAAAGGATTGTGGATAATAGAAAGAAGAGTGGGGCCACTGATGATGATAATAATCAGAAAAACAAGAGTTTTGTGTGGACCGTACAACTCGCGTGGATTAAGTGAGTTGTGATAGATTGGGTGACAGTTGACAGGAGGTCTGCATCATGTTTTGTTTTAATGCAATCTCCTTTTGCTTAATATTTTGTCTTATTCGAAATGTTTGAATGCAAAATTCTATTCTCTCACATCTTATAGCATGACAATAACGTAGAAATTAAATAAATGGCTCTAAGGAAATGAAAAATATATATATTTTTAATCCACCACTGCCTTTGATGCTGACAAATTGCATGTTTTGCTGAAGTAATGTTTTTTTTCTCAGCATAACTCGGAGGCTTCCCTGACATTGTTAGTTTAGCAGAAGTAATTGCCAATGCAAATGTGCCAACTATGCAAGATTAAAAGCACTTTCCTGCAAGGAGTCACAAAATAAGTAGGCCTTCACATCATAAATAATGTGAACGGACTTAACTCTGTATCTGCACATGTGAAGAGATTATTTTCAAAATCAATGTTCGCAGTAAGGCATATTAAGTTTGATTCACTTTCCCCGTGCTCTTGGAAGACAATAGACTGTTTTTTTATTACCAGATTTTCTTGCAATATAAATGATGATTGCTAGGAAGGGAAATAATGATATAGTCTTGAATATGTCCAAATTGATCAATTAATCAAGACCACAGGACTCTGTGATGTCTATTGATTTTTGAAGGGTTCAATATTTTGGTTAACCTGCTATATATATTAAACCAGCTTGCCAAACTGGCAAACTTATAGCATATCTAAAATGTATAGGGAAAATAAGTGTAGATAGGAATGGCTGAGCAAAATAATGTATTACAGGAAAGCAATACACCTACAATCTAAATTGAAAACTAGTTTCATGACACCTGTTTTTATGTTTAGTTCGTCGTCCTTCTCCGACACCTCTGATTAGCACGGTTGGTGCGACAGAAGCTAAACATACATACATACATAAGATGAACGTGAATCTATCATATATCATAACCGTCATTGTAAAATATCGTCACGTTGATGAAAAAAAAAACGTACATATGACAATGCCAGACCATAAGAATGGAAATCACAACGCATCTTTCGATGAGCTTATTCGTTATATGTATTTTATGTTGGAATAACAATATCGTTTTCTCTGTACATATAACAAATGAGAACATATTGACCCTGGCTAAAATAGCACATCTATTAGCCGAATATGAGCACATCTATATAAATAATATTTCGTTCAGAAACCTAAGTTCAAACTGATAGGATATAGTTGATGTCATTTTCAAGTTCCCAGATCACACGTCGGATTGCTGCCAGATGATTTACATTGCCAAATTGAGTTTCATTACAATCAAAATTTAGAGCTCAGACTGCAGACGTGAATACCGAATAACGATAATAATACAATAGCATGACCAACAGAAATTCTGCAATCACACGTTTTAAAGCATGGTGTTTTTTATCTATAAAAAAAGTATAAAAATAAATTCTAGCATTGAGCAATGCTGCATGCCTCCCTAATTAAAATGTAAATTGAAATATCAAGGCTCAATTAACCCATTTTCCCACAGAACGTGTAAATGAAATGAAACTATAATAAGCCAAGTTTTGGCAATCTGTGAGGTCCCATATACACAGCACGTATTCCAAAAAAAGTTGAATTGTTTTTTTCAAGACATCTTCTTGGTTCTTTCGGTAAAGTCACGTAGAAGGGAAGTAATAAAATAATAAAAATAAAACATAATAAAACAATTCTCACGACGTTTCGGCCACAACGCAAGCAGCCGTCCTCAGGTGAAAACCAGGTCCGTCGAGGCGACAGACTCTGTCGCCTTGCGTTGTGGCCGAAACGTCGTGAGAATTGTTTTATTATGTTTTATTTTTATTATTTTATTACTTCCCTTCTACGTGACTTTACCGAAAGAACCAAGAAGATGAATCCCTGCAGTCACGAAAGCTTTAAATCGAAAATTTTCAAGACAGTTAAAGGACTTGAGTATATTATTAAACATAGATTGAACTAAAGTATTGTGCTACTGAGGAAGAAAAAAACCCATGTTACATGCTCATGAATTGCTATGTTTGTGAACAGAGTGATGGCCAATTCATGTTGATGCAGCGTGCACAATGAGTACAATATAGAATAGTATTCTGATTCAACTCGTACACAACAGCCAAAACTATCTGTGTGTCGCTGTGTGTGAGGGGGATAGTGGCGGAGCAGTTAGCGTGCTGCGCTTTGAACCCGGTGACCTCAGTTCTATTCCCGCTCGTGGCCATCGCCAGTGACGATTATTCGAACCCGTCCTGGTCCTCCCCCTAGGTCGACTCAGCCTGAGTACTTGACAAAGGCAGCCAGGCGTGGTGCTGGCCACCCACCCGACTTTTGTGTCGCACACTGTCCTTCATAGGTGCTGGCTAGCAGCACTTAGTCCAGGCTATACGAGGGATCTTTGTCTTGTGTGTGTGTGTGTGCATTGACGTGGGCTAGTGAAAGAGCATTCTCTTGAATACAGCAGTAAAAAAAGAGAATTCGACATTGTCTGTGTGAGTCCTATACCATAATCCTATGGACCAGCCCCTTTCAACCTGAGCAAAATAACAACGTAAAAAAAGCATCACCATCTACATTGATTTTGTGCAGAGGCATTCACGTAAGACATTTTAATTTACATAGCTCTACGCTGCATTTAAAGGTTCACGGACCGATCGTCCGAATGCGTCCGTTGCGTTGTGTTCACGGCGTGTGTCCGATCTGCTCTGCTCTGCAGCCTGCCCTCTCGGCTACTACAAGGAAGCGGCGGGGGATGAGCGCTGCTCCCTGTGCCCTGCGCACAGCTACTCGACACGGGAGACACCGGCACGCTGCTTCTGCGAGGCCGGCTATTACAAGGCCGAGAGCGACGCCGTCAACATGGCTTGCACACGTGAGAAAATACCACCGCGACCAGCGCCGACCATGCCAGCAAAGGCAAAGATGCCCCGTGTAGCCTGAACGGACTATCGGGTCAAGTGCTATTCGAAAGTGCCTGTGAGGGCCGGGTATGGCACACGAGGGGTGGGTGGCCAACACCACACCCGACCACCTTTGTCTCCCTAGTACCGATGTTTACACAGCGTGTCAGGTACTTATTTGAGGCTGAGTCAACCTAGGGGAGGCCCACGACCGGTTCAGATTGTCGTCACTGTTGTTGGAGATGAGTGGTAATCGAACTCGGGTTGCCGGTTTCGTAGCGCAGCGTGCGTTACTGCTCCCCACACTGATGCCAGCACCACCATCATCATAAACTTTATATCACTTATCCATTACCACCATCACCCGTTCGCCACCACTACTTCCAAAACAATCATCGTCATGTGCCGAGATGGAAAACATCATGTTTCAGCCATTAATTTATGTTTTTGCTCTTAATGGCACATCGTGTGCATAAATTGAAGAATCAAAGTCTGAAAAGACCATAATTTATCATAATTGCTCTTGACAGCATATGTTCAACAGATCACAGGCCCACAAATATAGCAGCGACTTTGGTACGATATTTATTCTCGTTTTGTTAAACAATTTGGAGACAACTCATTGTTAACATCTCGCAAAAATTGTCGATCAAAATCCGCTATCCATTTGAAATCAGTGTTCATCTATGTAGCTTCTCTGACAGCCACAGACGAATGCACATTGCTTAGCCTCTTTCACATCTGCCGCTTCTGTTCATATTTACTTTGCGCCACCACTTGCCTTTTAACATGCCGCTTCATCAAACTGTTCACAAGCCTGGAAAAGATACTTACTCCGTCTCACACATATCAGAGAGTTTTAAATTACCCTGGAGGAGAAATATACATAGAGGCAATGTCTCGGGACGTGTGCTCTTAATCAGGATTGATGAAGGTATGTTGTACCAACAGTGCTTATATTTCTTTTTTATCTTGTCTTTCAAATGGTCCTTGGGTACCGTGCTGCATGCAGACTCAAAAGTCCATACGTATTTTGAAAAACAAAAAATCTCAGTGACAAAAAAACGCAAACAGCAAGCGTCCATTATTTATATTTGCAAAACGGAAATGAGTTTGTGCGTTCATTAAAATTGACATAAAAGGCAACATTTTGTTGTTGTCGCCTCGAGGCACTTCTGCTCCTCTGAGCGAGTTCACAAACAGCAGCCACGAAATTAAAAAAAACCGTCCAAAACACCAAAACACCAACTCCCGCTTCTCCCCTCCTCCGGCTCCTCTCGCCAAAGTCACCGTATTTTCCGGAAGGCGCACGCACGCACACACACACGCGCACACACAAACGCGCACACACACACACACGCTCTACAGCCGGCACTAGACCACAACACAACGGAGCACTTCGCGGCCTAACACGTGCCAATTAACGCCTCGGGATTGACAAAGTTCTCACAAACTCCGCAAGCACTCAGCCTCCGTGATTAATGCGCAATCGGCCCTTCCTTCGCCCTTCCAACGTCCCTTACGTCAGCCCCGGTTGGCTTTTGTGGCCGGCCGGCGTTGGGGGATGGGAGGATGAACATGGGCGCTGTGATTAACCGAGCGAATTTCTGGGCGGCTGGTGGCTGGTGGCTCTCGGGCCCCACGTGCTAATCTACGCACTGCGCCAATTGTTCATTCACGGTCCAGAGGATCCATTTGCTTGGGAACCCTGCTGAGTTCATCAGTCCTCATCCAGCAGCCTTCTCTTTCGCTGCTACAGTTCCACTGCCCCGGTGGGTACAACAACGCGGGGACCTTTCAGGGGAAATATTCTCGCACAGAAAGCAGGCCGTGTGGGGAGGGGGTGAATGAGAGTGTCTCCAATGCATGCGTGGAATTTTTTCTTTGATTTAGTAGCCGATAAGGATGACTGCATCAATTGAACAACTTTTTCAAGACAGAAGTGTACGATTTAAGCAAAAGGCACAAAACCTCGATTGGTTAAAGTGTACAGCTGCAACTTGTTAGACTATTTTACAATTCATTTGTTCGACCGTTTAATGATGGGGCTTTATGTGCCATGTGGCACATAGGGAACGCTGGAAAGGATTTCGATTTCTACTCGAAAAAAGACATGTTAAAAAATTTACTATTTTTCAAAGAGTGCTTACCATGTCATAAGAAGAGACTATCCTATTAAATATGCACTGTCACCAATCCAATTCCTTTTTTGGAGACATTTTAATTCCAGTGGCATCACTTTGCGTGCAAGCTGTGGCGAGCTAAACCCGAGCTCAGCATGAATTTCACTGAAACATCTCGCCTACGTTGGCCGAGGCTATAAAAAGCCCCATAAAGCCACAGTCCCGGTCTGCCATTTGTCCAGGTCTCAGGGACAGCCCTTCCGAATCATTCATGACACGGAGCAATTAAAGCAACCGATGCGTTGGCCAGTGGTTGTAAAGCCGACAATAAGGCGACAGGAAGAAAGCTCCATGGGGGAAGAAAGTGCCAACGAACAGGGAGCGCTGGAGTTTGGGGTGGAAGTTGGGGGAAGGCTGTTTGCAAGTTTTTTGGGTGCGCTGTGTAAAGGCTTAATGCGGGACAAGTGTTCCAGCGAGCCATAAACATGCTTGACTGCACAATCTGTTAAACTGAACAAGGTTGCACGAGCGCCTGCAGTTACGGCTTGTAAAATAAACAAATTTAAAACTTTGCATACAACAGGCCAACCCGTGCTGATTGCCACCGTCACAGTGGAAAGAAAAGTTTTATTGCTGCTGTCAAGGTCTTTTGTTTTTTTATGCTGGTAATTTGTTACTATGCTGGAACCACTACAGGCTCATACACAAAGACAAAGGCACACGTATACTAGACACATGTAGAGGACATTAGCCAGATGCTGGATATTGCCTTGCGGCAATTTTACTCAGTGTTCCATGGGCCGAACATTCAAACATCCAGGATAACATCCTTGCCTCACAGTATTTCAACCACCAAGTAATCGTCTCGGTTACATATTCTGTATACATACAACAATCCTGCATATGCAGGTGGTTGTCCTACAAATTATTTTCCAGTGTCAGGGTAATTAACCAACCTCTTTTAGGAACTAAGTTTTTTTTGTTTGCAGTGTCCGATCATTGAGATGCAGTGCTCTTTCCAATAACAATTGGCAACCCAGCAGCATTTGTTTAATGAGCCTGACTCTTCTGATGAGACCCAGAATGTGGAAACCAGCCCAGACTTTGCTTAAGCAAGGGAAGTCTGGGCTGGTTTCCACATTCTGCTGGGGAAATATTTGTTTGGAAAGCTGCTTTGCCGATCGACTAAACATTGATTATATTTACATGCAGAGACGGAGAACGGAGGTAGTCAGATAATAACTACCTCACCTGGTATGCAGGAGGTCGTGGGTTCGATCCTGACCCTGACTCTTGCATATTTGGAGTTTGCATGTCTCTCTCCCCGTGGTCGCATGGATTTTTCTTGGGGTCCTCCACTTCTTCCCTCCACATTTAGAAACATGCATTTAGAAAATTTGGCTGTGATAAAAGTCCACATGATAAGCCACCTCATTGAGCTATCATTTGGGGCCAGGTCGCTTCTGAAAAATAGCTACATAGTTCAGTGGGCCTTTCCTGGTAAAATATATATACTTTTATATCGTTCATATGTTCATGACACCTTCGATTATTCAGCACGCTACCAGCAGGGCACATTGTGGCCACCATGCTCGGCACACTTGGCATCTCACAGGAGGTCAGAAAATCCAAAGGCGTCATTCGCTAACCACGTGGCATCCTCCAGGCCCCCCATCGGCGGTGCGCAACGTGATCTCGAGCGTGAACGAGACGTCGGTGATCCTGGAGTGGAGCCCTCCCCAGGACAGCGGGGGCCGCGGCGACGTGAGCTACCGCCTCGTGTGCCAGACGTGCGGCGGGGGCAGGGAAGCCGCCGTGGCGGCCGCGACAGCGGCGACGACGACAGGGGCGGCTGCGTCTCCGCCGTGCGCTCCGTGCGGGGACAGCGTGCGCTTCCTGCCGCGGCGCGAGGGCCTCGCGGTGCCCGGCGTCACCATCGCGCACCTGCTGGCGCACACCAACTACACCTTCCGCATCGAGGCGCTCAACGGGGTCTCGCGGCTCAGCCCCGCGCCGCCCAAGGTCGTGTCCGTGTCGCTCACCACCAACCAGGCCGGTGAGGATCACCGCGTCCGTGCCGTGATAGATGTACGACGCCGTGCATATGCCACTGGTATTCTTTGCTCGGTGTCACAATGTGATAGGCTATATACATATATGGTGGCCAAACAGGCTGCCGAGGATTACCGTTCAATTCGACCCTGTAGGTTTTCGTGATTGTACTGTACAGCTCTCCAATGTGTCCGGCTTGATGTCCGATGTTTCGCTCCGTGCTCCAAGAGCTGGGAGCTTGTTAAAGAACTGAATATTGAAATTCGATGTCTGCCACTCAATAGATGGGATTTATATTTCCGTGTGATTTTGCCGTTGATTGTGCCTCCAAATGCAGGCAATGCAAAATAAAATGCGGGGTCCATTCTACTTTGGAATATTTCAGCTTTGAGGACAAAGGAGGAGTATCCTGAAAAAAATGTGATAACCCAAGAAGCTCAGTGTCCAGAAAACATGATTTTTTTTAGCAGACTACTAAAGAGGATGAATGACAGTGAATGATTTAATTCATTGTGACCTCATCTGTGGAAAGATGACATAGGTAAACGCTATCAAAGACAACTGTGAATTGGTTTATACATAATCAGTGTGGGTTATATTAAAATTCTAAACGTGGGATGTACATTTTTGTACAGGACATCCTTGACATATACAGCAAGGACGTCCTGGACAAAAATGGTTTGCAAGTGTCTGGCATTCTCTATTGAGTGACAAGGAGCGTTGTGTGGTGTTGGTTAAGAGAGGTCTGATGTATCATCTTTCTGAAGTAATTCCTTGATGACATTTCACCATCTTCCACTAATTATGGAATGATACTTCTTATTACTATCATGTAAATCTGGTAGCAAAGTTGGGACCTTTGTTAAGTGTGATTTAATATAAATCAAAAACAATTTAAAACACTGAGATACAAATACATGTATGTACCTCTTTAATATACCAATTAACTTAATTATATATTTATAAAGTGCTTCTGTATTAAGCCATGTTTATCATATTCCAAATGTAAATTTATAGTTAATGCATTTCAAGTGTCTGTTTAAGTGTAAGAGGACACATTATTTCATTATTTTGTACTGTTGCATGGTTACATTTTATATTTCTTTTGTTGTGTATCATTTTATACCAATTTCCTTTGCAATGTTCTCTCTGGTTAACATGATGTTAGTTAAAGAAAAAAATTGTGATTAAAAAATACACCCACATCCTTGCAGCAATATTCATTACGTCTAAATGCGCACACATATACACACACACTCGTGAGAAGGCCAGGCAGCACGAGGTCTTGGTAAATGTTTGTAAATTACAAAATAAAACCGTGGGCAGTTTTGGCCCATGGCACTTTTAGACAATACCCTACATTAGGGAGCCACCACGGGGTCTATACCATTAATTTTACAACATGGAGTGTATATCGGTAATGTGCTGCGGAAATTGCTAGGCAGCTATATAAACTTGAACCGGCGATCCCAGGCAGACTTGCGTATGTTTGTAAATGGGCTGAATGAGCTGTGATTGTGAGCACAGGTAGTCACCCATGAATTTGAATCAGCCTCAATTCAGAAAACATAATAAATGCTTATTCTCTTTGCTATAAAAGCGTCACATATGATAGCACATGCATGAGACCCACAATATTTTGTTTACTCTTTCAGCTTGCGTATATCATAAGCAGGGCAACATGCCGCCATACTGCCGTATTTATATATATATGTATATAACGCGAATTGTTTTCCAGCACCTTCTGAGATCCTGGTGATTCAGAAAGAAGGGGAGACACGGGACAGCCTCACGCTGTCGTGGAGTGAACCCCAGCAGCCAAATGGAATCATTTTGGAATACGAACTCAGCTGCTGCCACAAGGTCAGTACTTAATGGAGAAGTGAGACAGGGTCGTACATTGCCATGTTTATTTTCCTTTTTCTGGCTGGCATCGGTCTCAAATAATTAATTTTGAGAGTGCTGAAAATCACGCTACGTGATGGATAATCAAAGAGTGTTGTGTATAAAATATTTGTTAATATGGATTTGGGTTCTATTATTTGATCCAGTATGTCTGCAATTCTAATTGTATACTAAGCAGCAATATAATTAAAATCGAATTGATATTGTTAACAAAGTATTAAACCAGACATTTAAAATAAGAACGTATATATCTGAAACCTCACATGCATTTTTAAACACTCTGCACAACTGCACAGATTTTGAATTTGCACCAGAGCCCATGGGATACATTTTAAACGCGAATTTGGAATCTTTTCGAAGAGTTTCCACATTACCGCAAAAATTGGAGTGCGACTCATCCCAGGGGATTTTCTGACAACAATTCTGAGCGAGCTGCCACATCAGTTGAGCAAATCGGCCGCAGTAATTGCAAACGCAAATGGGGTGTGGAGAGCAGGCATCTTCTGGCCCAAACTGGAGTCCCACAATGCACAGATGCCTCTCGTCTTAGTTTTAGTCCAAATGGCAATGCCCGCTTGCTGATATTTCACAGTGTGTCAGCTTCTGGTCGGAATTTAAAAAAAAAATTATGATGTGATTGTGAAATACAAGTAAAAAATGTTTCATATTGCTCATTACCATTGGCATGTGCCCATTTCATTGTTTTTATGTGTTGGTCATATGAAGTTAATGCATGATTTAAATGACGACGTTATCAAATGATCACGGCCCTTACTGTGTAATTTTAATCAATCTGACCATCTGGCATGAAGCATTTTTTAAGAAGTAGCATACCGCGAACTAACTGGCTTGACAGGTCATCAAACCCACAGTAGTGTGGGAGGGCATTAATGCTAATGAAAACATTGTTTTTTGTTTGTACTTATTTGGGAATATAGAGACAGATGCTCTTAGTGAACAGTTGCTTCAGGGCACTACTACTCGCACACAAGTCGATGGGCAGAAATGTACAATACCAGGCTGCCACGATGCAAAGTTCATTGCCAAAATAATGTTTGTCCCTCATTGTAACTGTGATACCTGCACGGGTAGACATCTTGCGAAGGGTAGCACTGGCTGTACACAAGTTGACACATCAGGCATAATTTGCTTGGTTTTTAAACCGCCATAACACAGTTCGAGAAATTACCGTATAATGCGTCTCACATTTACCGACAGTCGCAATTCCATGCAAGCCCTCAAATACGAGACACACCATTCGGCCAGGGAACTAACCTTTACCTCAGTTTGTCTGCATATAACAACTATCGTGGTGGGGGGGGGGGGGGGTGTGGGTTTGAGGGGGTGGGGGGGCGGCGAGGAGAAGTAGGGCGGAATGTATAGGGTTAAGAGGGTTTGTCAGAGATGTTATATGATCGCGTGCACATTTTAAATTCCAATTGGAGCCCAGCAGGTTACTGCTGTGAAGACTTGTTTCAATTTCACATGGCAGTGGCCCTCAAACCCACGGTCCTTAGGGACGTCCACGGAAGAGGAGTCCCCCGCATGGGCCAATGTTCCAGAGCGTGTACAATATTAGTGGCGTTTGTCGCACCATATTTGCAACCATGGAGGGTCTGCAAAGGGGAGGTCCTCAAGGAAGCATCACTGTCATTTACGATTCGGCACAATTTCGGCGATAATTTATGAGCAGACCTACACCTCACAATTCTCAATTGTCATTGTAATGCCATTGGACTGGTTGTAAAATAAATCACGTAACTGGTTTCATTTCTAGCAAGTTGTTCCAGTAATTTTAAAAGTTTGTTTATATATATACGTGCAAAATTAAATGTGCTTTATGTATTTTATACTTGGCATAGTTGCATTATGTATTGTTTAAATAATGTCGGTAATAATTCACGTGTAGAAATCCACGAGCAAATTGTCACGTCAATCTCCACAAAGCGCACGATGCACAGACCGGCAAACACAGAACTTCAATTCAATACCGGGATAACGTCTCATTCATGTGCGAACGCACAAATGGGTTGCACGCACACACACACACACGACCAGAATGCCGACCACGCGGCGATGTCCACACAACGAATAAACACAGACCCGAGAGGCGCCAGGCCGGCTGTCACGTTGCCACTGCACAGGGAGTTGCAAGCGCAACAGACCGCTTCGGCGCAAGCTGTGGCGTGGACCCGAGCCCCGCGATCTGACGTTGCGCATCACTGCGATTCAGGACTCGAAGGAGCAGAACTGCACGCTGGTGAAGGCCAGCTCTCGTGGTGCAACCATGTCAGGGCTGCGGGCGGGCGCTGTCTACACGTTCCGCGTGCGCGCGCGCACAGCCGCAGGCTTCGGAGCCTACAGCGCCCGGGTTTTCTACTCCACCAGCCAAGGTGCCTCTTTCTCACGGAATGTGATCTTTTGATTTAAAGCTTTCGTGACTGCAGGGATTCATCTTCTTGGTTCTTTCGGTAAAGTCACGTAGAAGGGAAATAATAAAATAAAATAAACAAACGTCGTGAGAATTATTTTATAATGTTTGATTTTTTATAATTTTATTATTTCCCTTCTACGTGACTTTACCGAAAGAACCAAGGATAAGAATATGATCTGCTTGTCTGCCTGATGGGACTGTGTGCCTGTCTGTCTGTCTGTCTCCCTGTCTCCAGGTCCCTCTTCACCTCTAGTCACCTTCTTTCCCATACTGTCTCTGTGCGTGTCTTTTTTTTATACCAAGTCTGTCCATCTCAGTATCTATTTATTGCTCTTCATCTCTCGTCTTTCTTTCCTTTCTTCTCTGTGTTTTTAGTGAGTTTGTGTATTTTTGTTTATTCCCTAAGATTATTTGCAAACTAACCCTCATGTACGAATTATTAACAGGAAAGGCAAACTCTTTTGGAGGTTTAATATAATTTTTGTAGTCAAAACAGCCCCTCCAAATTTGTATTTTTAATGCAAAGAATTGTATGGCAGTTATCCATCACAGTGGACATGATGCATCAAGGGCTGAACATTACTGTGTGCGTTCATGCAGCACGTGGAGCAGTGGTGTAATTATAACGCACCTGGCTATCATCCTGGTGGCTGGGTTTTATTGCTGGCCATACACATCAGAGGCAGTGGGCAAAAAGAATGCACGGTTGACCTCACCTTGGTGAACTAAAGCCTGAAATTTGTATGGTATTTTGAAGATCCGAAGTGCGGTGGCTGGGTATTTGCGGTGCTGGCTAAATCACTTCCTGATGTGGCACTTTGACCTTAATGGGCGCTCGCTAACAACGCTTGCCTTGACAGCCTGCGGCCTATAGTTCAATCAAATTTGTCACAGTGGAAAACACAGTTCGTAGTTTGAGGGTGGTGGATGACCTGAGAACAACAGCCTCTAGGTCAAGTCTAAAAAAAATGGTGTTTGAGAATTGTGTATTTGGAATGAGCAGGCGTTCTAAAGTGGCTTTAAATATCCACCAACAAATTCACCTCTCTCTCCCACACCTCAAAAATACAAAAGTGCAGTGGAATAAAAATAATAATGAATGAAAGTGCTACATAAAAATGGAAGAATTTTAATTTTGCTAGTTTTAAAATGGGTTTAAGCTTTCCTCTTTCTTGTAGACATTGATCACATGTCGCTGATCTCATTTAAGATAAATCTCTCGACTTTCAAAAGGAGTTGCTAACCTTTCTCCCGCCGCGTGTCTCCTGCAGCGAGCCCCCTGACAGGAGAAATGAAGGAGATCACCATCTTGGGGGCTTGTGTCTCCATGGTGATTTTGCTGCTCATATTCTTCATCGCCTGTTTCATCAGCGGAGGGTATGTGCCACATACCCACCGCCCAAACACCCCTTTACTTCATCCCCTTATCTCTCCAGCACTTTCCCCCATCTCTCTGTGTGTGTCTATGTGTGTATGTGGGGAGCGGCAGTTTAGTGGTTAGCGCGCTCCGCTGCGAACCTGGCGAACCGGGTTCGATTCGCGTTCACGGCCAACGCCGGTGACGATTATCTGAACCTGTCCTGGGCCTCCCCTAGGTCGACTCAGCCTCAAATGAGTACCTGGTGTGGTGTGTAAACATCGTCACTAGGGATACAAAGTCGGCCGGGCGTGGTGTTGGCCACCCAGCCTCTCGTGTGCCGTGCTGGCCTTTATAGGTGCTCGCTAACAGCACTTGCCCCAGCAGTCTCTTAAGGCTACACCGGGGATCTTTTTTTAATCTTTGTAATTTAGCCATAAATGAATAGTTGCCAAGGTGTGCGAATATCAGCACTGGGGAGGTAAAGGCAGCAGAGTGTATGCCATTCTGGCTTTGATATGTGCTCACTAACAGCACTTAGTCATGTGGTGGTGTGTAACGCTAAACAGCAGACCTTTGTCTTTGTGTGTGTGCGTGAGAAAACTAGCCGCACCACTCGATGCTCTTGAAACAGTCTCGGACAGAGCTTGTTTGTTGCGGTTTTGTGGAACGTTCGCGAACGCTGCTTTCCGTGCGAAGCACATCGCGTAAAAAAAAAACACATAACCCACTGCATCATCGCGAGCTTAAACGTTGCTCCTCGAGCATTACTTATCTTTGCAAGGACTCGCAGAGGACCGCCATCGAAAGCGCTGCACCATCGGTCACAAACTCGGCAGACGCATCCTCGCCGCGCGTCAACTCTGTGGGAACTGTGGAGGCAATTTTGTGCCAGACAAATGAGGCCGCGGCTTTCACAATAGTGGGGCACTTCCATGCTTGTGTAAACAAGCAGTGAATGGCCCACTGCAGGCGAGGAGCTACATCTCTATTTGCTTATCTATTTATTCACTTGTTTGCGAAGTAACACATGTGGGAGATCTTTCTTTTTCTTCCTGGGGATATGTTCCCAAGGAAATGTAGTGGAGTTTAAACAAGAGCAAGATTATCCGGGCTTCCTTTCTAATCACACAGTGTGTGTGTGTGTAACCCAAAAAAGGCTCGCATATTTCAAACAGCACATTTACCACAAAGAGACAGGTTCATAATAACGGTGGTGTGTTTACTGAAACGTGGATTTATTTTACATTTATATTTCATGTTAGCACGGTATTATATTCGTAGGATTGTTATATTTTCATGGTCCTTGTTTAAGAAGCCCAAACTTCTGAAGTTAGGGGAAGTCTTATTTTCATCAACTTTGTGACAAGGCATTAACTAGAAAAACGAATGCCCTAAAACATAAAGCGCTGCCCGAACATGATAGATTATATTAACAGCTGGATATTCATGTGAGACGTCTGAACCGATAGTGGCATTATTAATGTTCCTTGTATCAGTTGAAAAAAAAATGTGCCCCCGACCCCCTTCCTTCCATACAAACTAAATTGGCAATAATTTTCATCATGTCATCTCCAAAGATAAGAGCTACAGAGAACCGCAATGCAGTAAAACGTCCTGCAATTTACATTGCTGCTTGACTGGGATTAAACTGCGCTTTTAATATTATTATTTACTGCAAGTATCAGCCAAGAAGACATTTAGTGCCAATTCATAGTCAACCTTTAGCATTAAAGGCTTACGAATTGCAAAATCCATTGGATTGTCGTCTGCGAGAGTCCATAGGATTGAGAGTGTGAGCGCAAAAGGTTAAGATAGCTATTAAGCCATGCCATGCCTGCTTCATGCTTTTTCTGCATGCTTGCAGTACGACCCTGCTTCCGCAGCTACTGCATTGTAGCTGCTACCATTACGATGAAAGGAACTCGCTCCAAGCTGGGGTTTCCTGCCAGCATGGGAAAGCGGAAATAAATGAAATAAGCGAGTGATGAATTATTTAATTGCTGGGGTGGTGACATGACCGAGCGAAAGCCCATTCGCCGCTTGTTGTGCAGAGGTTCACGGTTCGAGCCCAGAGGCGCGGACCTGGACGTTAAACACCCCGTGATGTTATTCGATATCGAGCAGGCTGTTGTGTGCCCAAGGATTGTTCCAAAATACGGCAAATCCGCAAGATTACCTGCAAATTAGTCCATTGGGAAACGCATAGCAACAGCAACCCCATCTAGTGCGAACCTTGGAATGACTCACCTGGAAAAGAGTCTTGAGACTCAACGAGGCTTCACAGGGAAAATAAATGTAGGAGCATTAGTCGTCATAATATAATTGGCAATTGTGAAAAATGTTTTAGGAACAACGTTGCATTGGGCATTTTGGGTGAGAGGTTAAGAGCTGCAACTTTCCTCCTTCCCGTTAGACGTTGCCGACACACAAAAGGAGGTCACGTGCCAGACGAAGAGAAACTCAACTTCTGGAGTGGCCACAGTAAGTCCTTCGTACGCACGGGGTCCTGTCTGATACACGTGAACGGTTGGTGGAAACTCTGAACTAAAAACGTTGAGCACACGGGCACAAAAATGTAACTGCCACTGTACCAGTGTAAAGTATACCAAGATAATTGACAGTTTCATCATTAAATTTCGATTTAAAGCTTTCGTGACTGCAGGGATTCATCTTCTTGGTTCTTTCGGTAAAGTCACGTAGAAGGGAAGTAATAAAATAATAAAAATAAAACATAATAAAACAATTCTCACGACGTTTCGGCCACAACGCAAGCAGCCGTCCTCAGGTGAAAACCAGGTCCGTCGAGGCGACAGAGTCTGAATGAAACAGCACACGAGCTTGGAGCATATATATAAGCTGGGCGCATTGACAAAGGAATTTGCATATCAAAAGGAATTTAGCATATTTATGGGAAATGCAGGAATGTGATTAGTACTGCATATGCATGTGCATTATGCAGGATTAACAGCATCAAAGGGAGCTGCAGTTACTGCTGCTGCAGCAGTTGCTGCTGCTGCTGCAGTTTCTGCTGCTGCTGCAGTTGCTGCTGCTGCTGCAGTTGCTGCTGCTGCACTTGCTGCTGCTGCACTTGCTGCTGCTGCTGCAGTTGCTGCCTTATCCATTTTAATATAACACTATGTATTATTCTACCCACCCTAATGTGTATCATACTGCTATATGTTACTGTAATACTGTAATTGTACAGTAAACATATAGCAGTATGATACACATTAGGGTGGGTAGAATAATACATAGTGTTATATTAAAATGGATAAGGCAGCAACTGCAGCAGCAGCAGCAAGTGCAGCAGCAGCAACTGCAGCAGCAGCAGCAACTGCAGCAGCAGCAGAAACTGCAGCAGCAGCAGCAACTGCTGCAGCAGCAGTAACTGCAGCTCCCTTTGATGCTGTTAATCCTGCATAATGCACATGCATATGCAGTACTTATCACATTCCTGCATTTCCCATAAATATGCTAAATTCCTTTTGATATGCAAATTCCTTTGTCAATGCGCCCAGCTTATATATATGCTCCAAGCTCGTGTGCTGTTTCATTCAGACTCTGTCGCCTCGACGGACCTGGTTTTCACCTGAGGACGGCTGCTTGCGTTGTGGCCGAAACGTCGTGAGAATTGTTTTATTATGTTTTATTTGTATTGTTTTATTACTTCCCTTCTACGTGACTTTACCGAAAGAACCAAGAAGGAGTTTCATCATTGTGTTGATATAGCCTAAACATTGTGCTATGATTACAAAGATCACTTTTTTTGTTTGTTTCCTGAGCATGTTCGATGCAGCAGCAATTGACGTCCCTAGAGGGTTTTCATCTAGCCAAGTAAAGGACATTGATTGGTTCAGACTTTTTTTGTGGTAAAAGTTGCTTGTGTTAATATCATATAGGGTACAGTCTCTACGATAACTGCGGCTAATCTAGGATATGTTTGTATGTCTGGAGAAGTCCTCCTAGACTGCTCCACCAGTTTCAATTATAGAGGAGTCATTTGAAAACATATATAATTTAGTTCATACGGAGGAGGTTGAAATTACCAAAAAAACACATTTCACCAGATTATTTGGCTGATTGGCATCTGTTGCTTTTCCATACTATGATTTGCAATGTATCTGAACATGCTTTAAATTCATGCAATGAATAGGCATACATTTACAACTTTGGTTTTCAACAGCATTTCCACATATAATATATGTAAATCAACACACTAGCCAACAACACTGCCTTAAAATAAAATAAAAAACATATAATCAGCAACATTTATGGCAAAGCCGTTCTTCATGTTTTATGTGCTATGAAGTAGAACAATCGCCCGGAACATTGTCAATTATATGTTTCACTTTTAAGACAGTGTAGTTGACGAGTGTGTTGAGTTATTGTTTTTATTTGTGCACCACTGCCAATGCAGCATCACCAAAGAACGCATTTAAACTCCCCTGTAAAAGTATAAACAGCTCAGCTAGACTTGAACGAAGCCATTCTCGTCGTGTGCCAACGCTCTGGCACTGTGACAGCCGAGTTGACGAGGACCCCCCCCTCTGTCTGCGCGAACAGTAAAACTGCGGCGGATAAAGACCTACGTGGACCCACACACGTACGAGGATCCCGCGCAAGCCGTGCACGAGTTCGCCAAGGAGATCACCGTCTCGTGCATTTCCATCCAGAGGGTGGTGGGAGCGGGTAAGGCAGCCGCCGCAACCAGGACTACATTCAAAAACAAATACAGACCTTCCTCAATCGACCGCTGGTTGAAGGTTTTTATTTAATTATTGCTGTATCAGTCGTGGGGTTCTTTTGCCATACTTCACCACATTGTGGGTGGGGGGGTGGGGGGGGGGGGAGCCAGACCAGTTCGGACGTCAGTCGTCACCGATGTGAACAGTGGCCGGGAATCGAGCCCAGGGCTCTAGGTTCACAGCGCAGCGCTCGCCACGACTGCGGACGCTTTACTGTCAGAGTTTTGGGGGTCCCCTCTTTGTGCATTGGCCTCCTTCCCTTCACTGATTTACCAGCACTCGTGCCCGAGATGCCCTATTGCTCCTAACTTTGGTTGTTTAGTTAATGAGTTTTTCAAAAAATTCCAAGTCCTAATTATAAATCTAAATTAAAGTTAATACGAACAAAACTTTTAATGCCGGTATGCAACTGGCAGTAATGCACGCAGTTATGCCACGGCTTCAATGACCAATTTGCACGATAGGATGTGTGGCAGTGCTGCAGTCTTGTGCTCCAAGCATTGTGTATACATTTTTTGTGGCCTCTCAAATTCCGAGGCTTTGTACTGCACCCCCCACACCCGCCCCCGTATAAGGCCCCTGTGTCAATCCAACCCTGGGCACAACACCTGCAGCCGTGACTCCTTCCACCTGGAGATCACTGACACTGCTGGGACGTGTGTTTCTTAAGAGTGTGGTGTATGTGTGCGTGCGTGTGCATAGAGTGTTAGTGTAGCGGTTAGCGTGCTGCGCTACGAACCCGGCGACCCGGGTTTGATTCCCGCTCATGGTAAACACTAGTGACGATAATTATCTGAACCCGTCCTGGCCCGCCCCTAGATCGACTCAACCTGAAATAAGTCCCTGGTATGGTATGTAAACATCGTCACTGGGGAGACAAAGGCGGCCGGGCGTGGTGCTGACCACCCACCCCCTCGTGTGCTGTGCCGGCTTTCATAGGTGCTCTATAACAGCACTTGCCCAAACAGTCTGTTAAGGCTATACAGGAGATCTTTGTCTTCTGTTTGCAAAGGTATGTAAGATATAGGAAGTGGTGGGGTACTGATTAGCGCATTGTATTACAATCCTAGCAGCCTGGGTTTGATTTCATAACATGGAAACAGAACAGGGGGCGATCGGTAACCAAACCAAGCCTGGCTCTATGCTAGGATTGACTTGGTTTAAATGTTTAGGTGCATAAATTACAAAAACAATAAAAATCCTCATCATGCACTGTTGTTGAGCATTGTCGGTAATTCAATAATTAGGCAGATTTTAAATATGAAATATAATTTTCAAGTTTCTCAGTATTTAGGTCCAGGTGTATACATTAATAAACAAACAGAAAATAGTGTAACATGCAAAACATACTCTTGAAAAAGTTCATTCATCTGCGTTTTGTTTATCTCACACAGTTTTTTTGGAAAAGCAAAATGCACATAATGTAAATATTGGTCAAAATATGCTGATGCAGATCCTGAAACACGCAATATATGTGCACACATCATCATTTGTGTGCACCAGAATTAATTATACTCAGCACACTTTATAAATGCCAAATAAAATACACGCATGACATCTCACGCTTAGATTTTATTAACGCCACGAAGGATGCTCGCAATCACAGTCCTGTTGAGATGCTGATGTGTCACGGGGGTCAGGGCTACCATGGTGAACTTGATTGTTACTGGACAGCTGCTGAAATGGGTGGGTCATTACCTCACTCTCCTGCCTCCGTGTCACTCTAAGCGCTTGCGAAGAGAGGTGCTCGTTTTAGAATGAGTCAACCTCCGTAAAAAAAAAATCTTGACCTAAAAAAAAGATGGATTTAATGCCAGCTCACTGAGCCAAGAGGGTATTTTGCAGCCGTAAAACATGAAAAAATTAGGTTTAGACCACAAAATTCTCTCTTAAGATCATTGTTTAAAAAATTGCTCAATGAAAGTCAATGAGCCTTCCACTGGCTCTGGTACAGGGGTTTGAATTCTTTGTGAGTTCAGAGCTATGGCTTTTTTATGAGAGTATCCTGGGGTGAAACCGGGGCATTAATCTGCCTCTGCGCAAGCCTTTGGGGCACTCTCTTTGCTGCCTTAACTGTTAACTTGTGCGACTAAAGGGATTATTGTGGGTTAACTTGCTCGAGGTGGCCCACACCTAACCTTAACATTTACACTAGTGTGACACATCTCTTTGCAGTACCGATCACAAACAAATATCTCAACATACAGTCTATAAGTATTAATTCTAGATTTGAAGCTTTTGTGACTGCAAGGATTCATACTCTTAGGTCTTTTCGGTAAAGTCACGTAGGTAAAAAATAAATAATAATATTATTTATTTTTAATAAATATTTATTTTTTATAAATTTTTTATAAATAATAATAATATTTATTTTTTACCTACGTGACTTTACCGAAAATACCTAAGAGGAGTATGAGTCTATAAAGTAGGCAGCAGCAACTCGGTCATCTGAATTTGATTCCCGACCATGTCTTACATCACTGACCAGCGTGTAGTATGGCCAAACAACCTTCCATGACCAACATGCCATGGGGAAGCCCTCATCCAGCAGTGCATTGACAAAGCGCTTTCAATCAAATCATCGTTGACGTGTAAATATACTATTTCCCTGTTGGATGAAAGCCTTTTGTTTTTTGTTCGTCGCAACATGATATTGGTTGTGTTCCCGTTAATTCACTTCTCATCCATCTCCCTCTTGGTCATCCGTTCAACAGTGTCTTCTTTCTTCGCTACCAGTCTGCTGCTAGTTCTTGGCCCATTGTTGTCCTCTATGCCCAAGGCTATTTGCTTTGTTTAGCAGCCTGAGTGATGTCTTCGACACACACACATATGTTTGGGGGGGGGTTCCGAGAAAATGTAGTATGTGCTGCATGTATTTGCCTAATTAGTTATTTACTTAATGAGGCTGCATTCACGTCCAAAAATTAACTCATTGTTAGCTGGCCTCTCACCGTGTGCCCACTCAATACAACATATATATATCGCCTACTTTGCATACGAATTGTCCCTTTTATGCACGAAGCGCTCTTTAATCTCCATATGAATGCGTTCCTAAGTTATGTGTGAAAGGAGAAGATTGGGCAATGTATAGAGGCCTGCCCAGGCATGAGACTTGAGGCCTGCCCAGGCATGAGACTTGAGGCCTGCCGTCGAGAAACACGGGCGGCGAGGGGGGATTAACACTTACGCTTGATAATGCTCAGTTTAATTAACCATTTGCTGCTGTTAATTGAACCCCCCCCCCTCCCCCCCACTGCATCGCTACCAGGAGAGTTTGGGGAGGTGTACAGCGGGGTCCTGCGCGTGCCGGGCCAGGCCGAGGCGCCGGTGGCCATCAAGACTCTGAAGGCCGGGTACAGCGAGAAGCAGCGCAGGGACTTCCTGAGCGAGGCCAGCATCATGGGCCAGTTTGAGCACCCGAGCATCATCCGCCTGGAGGGGGTCGTCACCAAGAGTGAGTCCACTAACAACAACAACAGCAAACGGCGCCTGTCGTCGCCAAAAATGACAATGACATCACCGCGGCGCTTGTGCCAGGCTAGTTGCACCTTGATGCCACGTGAAGTGTCGAAGAATTGCTGGTAGGAGGTCATGGGACAGACGCAGGTGTTATGGGTTAACTGACTGAGATGATTGGCTCATGCACCACCTGTGCTTCACACTGTCACCTGTGTTTTATCCACCTGGTGTTCTGCTCGGTGTTGTGAGCATCGCTCCTCCACCCGACGTTGTTTTTGGAAGGCGATTGACTCCATCTGCGCACCAGCATCCTTCACGAGCCTGCTTCACTGACAGATGAGCACATGCACACACGCGCAAATACCGGGCAAGTAACTACATACATGTGAATTGATTAAAATAAATAGGTGTGCTCACGATATATTACGTGCACATATCTCACGCATGAGAAATTAATTATTTTTTTTATTCATATTCGAAAATATTATTAATTCGGCTGACTTCTTTGCGGTAACTCGAGATGCTACATTCACTGTTACATCAAAACAATAATTGATTCTTGAATCAAATCATGACCTAAGATTACAGCAATTCATCGAATCACAAGAGGGGTTCCGAATATACCGACACAAACTAATTATCTGTGATGTCATAGCACACATTCGAGCAAGATCCCCAATGTACTGAGCCTTGAAAGTGGCTGGCATGTCACAAGAGAGGGTGAGGTGGCCAGGATTATGATACTTGGGGTTGCCCAGGACAGATTCAGATGCAGCTCTCCACTGGGTGTCTGGAACCTAGCCTGACAGAAGCGCGGGAGATATCACCCCGCCACTTAGTGGCAACACAGGCAGTTGCTGTACGACTGGGAATTTTAATGTAGTGTGCAACCCGATGTGCCACTACTCCCCACCACAAATACAGTGTACGCACGTGTACACAACACTACACAACGGCAGCCGCGGCCGCAGACAGTGACTGGTGGTGATGTTGTTGATGATGTTGATAATTTTTTTTCACGTACAATTTTCACGAAAACAATGCAAGTGCTGGTACATTTCAACAAAGTTGCTTTAGTTCTCTGAGGAATTTGTTGTGCAAATGCATTACCGTGCGCTAGATGGGCAGAGTATGAATATCTTGTGAGTTTTAACGAGAGCAAAAAAAAACCAACAAATTGCCAATGCACTTCTAAGAATAGTGCCTCCTGCCCGTCTTCTGCTTGTTACACCGAGCGAAGAAAATTAAGCGTTGTTGTTCACTAACGGGGCGCTTGCATGCTAACAATCTCAATTAGCAAAGAGATGGTATTTGTTGTGCATAATTGGTCCCAAAAGAGTGCTGTTGAAGTTGTGTGGCTCCTCAACCAGTATATCGTGTCCAGGGTAGCTAAGGTCAGTTTACTTATTACGAGGCACAAATTAGCTTTGGGAATGCACTTTGTGCAATATAGACATATTTTCACAGTCTATTATTTATTTGATTTAATCCATTAACATGTCTTGGGCTTCCAAAGGAACATTTCGTTATTTCGTACGGCGTAAAATGAGTCGTGGTTCGTGAAGTGCACCTTTTGCTCGCAATTACCGCGCTCAACCAGAGATTAGGCTTATTTATTGTTTCATCATCAGGCCAAGGAGGTCTGGCATGAGCTATTACATTAAATTATCGCACAGTTGTCTTATTAGCAGGGATTGGCCGTCACAGTTGGCAACACTTATCTCTCTGCTCTGGAAGATGGATGCCGCACTTTACGCTGGGGATAAACTTTCAACAATGTTCAACGGGAATTTGGGAGAATTCTGTTTGGGAGAACCCTCCCCCTCTCCCCCACCAATAGCTCGTTAAAATAGCATTTCCATTTGAGCAAATAGAACACTCCCGTTGGCCTTGATTACGCAAAAATTGTGACTCATTTCACACTCGCGGCTGTAGCAGCACACACTGTTGTTAGGCGTTCTCACGGAGAGAAAGATAAAAGGGTTCCCCATCATGATATCTTTTACATATACACAGTTACACACAGATATACACGCGTCTGTATCCAAATCCCCTTCATCCACACATTATCTTCACAAATATAAGATGTGCATCAAATGAAAGCTGCTGGTTTGCATCATGTGAAGACAAAAATCTATTGTGAGCGTCGTTTTTTGTTGTTGACAAAATCACCACTTCCTTGGACCTTTTAGGCATTACACAATATATATATATATTTTTTGCTGCGATATCAAAATCTTGCGATAATCCCTGGCGAGTGATAACGGCGAGCGGGGGGAAGCGACTGGCACGTGGCCTAAGGAGCACAAAGCCAGTGCGTGCATGTGCTAAGACACAAGCACGGAAATGCTCACACGACTTATACCACGACTGCGAGCAATAATTAGTTGAATGAATTGAAAAACAAATACATTCACAAGCAGTGTATTTAATACGTGTGTGTGTTGCTGAAAGTGGTCTAAACCACACCGGACCACGTTTAGGCTTTCTTACAATTCACCGAAGAAGCTAAGAGCAGTGGAAAACGTCCCTAGCCATTCTGCGCAGCTCCATTAAGTTATATGATCTGCGATTGGTCTAGCCTTTTCGAGCGTTCACCAAAAGATGAGTACAATGTACGTCTTGCCAAATCCAGTTATCGGTTGTGGTTTGAGCATTAAGTGAGTATGTTGGTTGAATAAAACAGAAAGATGGCTACGCTATGGATGGGGAAATGGATTTGCGACAATAACTAAGAGCTGAATGGACCTGTGTGCATTAGACACGACATACAATACACTCAACACGAACCTGGAATGTTGCTCTCAGTCACATATTGACGTCAGAACATCGACATTGAGTCTCTTCGCCAAAACCAAGGTCTTCCCTCTCCACGGTCTCAATTGCACACCCTGAGAGGAATATGAATTACATGCAGCAGTTACAAAAATCCCCATTGGATATTCTTAAGGCCAAGTGGCTACCCATTTAAATGTAATGATACACTAATAACACGTTCAAGTGAGTTTTGTTAGCTGGCGTACTCATTGTGCTGGTTCAGCACGCCTGCTCATTGGTTCACAATGGATGCAGAAAGAATGCACGCGCTCAGTGCCCCAGTTAATATCGATGGGCATTTTATTTATTTATTTACATTATTGGATACGATACAATTGAAACACAATATAGCGTCTCGATGAGACCGTACCTCGAGACTCTGTCCAGAAACAAGAGGGCATATTTCGTTTTGTGAAAGAGGCAGCGAGAGGAGAAAAAAGCTCATGATCCTAGACTTAAAGACGTGTAGGGAGTCAACACCACGAATGGGTGGGGGTAGAAAGCTCGAGACAATGGTGGAAACAGAGGAATGAACGACCTCTCCCACTGAGTGAAGGTTGACAGAAACCCTCGGTTTCTGGAGCAGAAACTGTGTGGAGTGGAGCTCGAGTGAGATGAGAAGAGAGAGGTAGGGGGAGGGGCCAGTCCATAGAGGATCTTGAAGATGGTGATTGTGATCTTGAAATTGATCCAATAATTAATTGGGAGCCAGTGGTGGGATTGGTCTTCTGCACGGTGCTGGTGATAAGTCTGGCGTCGTTGTTTTGGAGATGTGTGATTTGAGGAGGACATTGGGGAGAGCTTCAATGGTGAAGTCAGGGTGTGATGATGAGATGGAAGAGATTATCAGTGGCAGCTGGGATCAGGACTTGGTGAATGTGGGAGATATTGCATGAATGGAGGTATGAGGTCCTGCAGACTTGAGATGGTCACCGCATCACGCCCTTTGAGACGCGCTTCTGCGGCCGTCTGGAACGCTCTTCCTTCTGCTATTAGCTAGCCACTGGAGCTGTGCACTTTTAAATCAAGATTGAAAAAGAATTGCTTTAGAACATCTTCTTGGTTCTTTCTGTTGATATGTAAACTCCTTTGTCAAGGCGCTCTTCTCCTCCCACCCAGCTTAAATACGCTGCCAAGCTTAGCAGTGTTCATTGGAGTGCTGTCTTTCCGACAGCCCTGTTTCTTCACCTGAGGACGGCTGCTTGTGTTGTGGCCGAAACGTCGTGAGAATTTTATTATATTCTATTTTTATTATTTTATTATTTCCCTTCTACGTGACTTTACCGAAAGAACCAAGAAGATGAATCCCTCCAGTCACGAAAGCTTTAAATTGTGTTATAGAACTATTTTATGTGTTTAGTTTGCTGTCCTTCCCCCGCACCTCTGATTAGCATGGTTTGCCACGTACAGTGAAAAGGAAGTTCAACATGTGCGTACATAAGTATGTATGTTGATCTTCCTTCACACTGTACGTAGCCAACCATGCTAATCGAAGGTGTGAGATGTGGGGACAGAACAAGAGCTTAGGATCAATGACACCTGCCAAGATTTTCCACACTATCGGCCAGCGTAACATCAGAGTTCAGTAGGAGCACACTCGAACCGGAGTCTCTCCCGAGAGTGAACTTTTTGCTGATGAGTATAAGTTTTGGAAATGTTTAGCTGGAGGACGTTGAAACCCAATCCGAAATGAGAGCAATTCAAGGAAGAATGTGAGAGTGCATATTGTGGTCGGGGTCATGGGGTCGTTGGCGATGTAGAGCCGGTTGTCATCAGCGTGCAAACGCCGCTCTACATTACAACACGAGATGGTCTTGCAAAGAGGGAGGAGATGTAATGAGAAGAGCCGTGGGCTGAGAACGGAGCCTTGTGAGACATTGCAGGATGGGGGTTTGTGAATGTAGCATGCGCTTCTATTTTTAACAGCCCTCTTCCTGATTACGCTCCACCAGTTATTCTGCATAATCAAAGAGAATAGTGGCAGGTCTTGTGGAGAGAATAATGAAACTGTGAAATTAATCACGACTATTTTTAGCAGCTCTGAAGCACACCTGTGCTTAATTTATTAAACTTCTCTCTTTAAGGCAAGTATAGATCTTTGCTAAGAATATCTGATCACATATATGAACACAGCACACGAACCACCTGGCAGTAGCCACACTGTGATTTCTGGGCAAATTTACACCAGTAGTAGTTGGTATCTATTTACAATCATAATGCCAATTATTTACCATAAGATAATTTTTTTTTTAGTTTTGGTCCTGCATTGGGATGTTTGGAGAATACCACCCATGAGTGTTTGGCACGTTAGGACGAAACCAGAGGAACTGGTGAAAATCCACACAAGCCGAGGAACAATTTCTCAACACTGCCATCTCCTAGCCACCTCACACACGACCTGGCAAGCCTTGACAGTCACCCATCCAACGGTCATCCAGGCTCAACACTGCCTCGGCTTTCAGATCCCAGGTGCATTGCATATTTATGTGATTTTAGGTTTAAGCGTCGCCTTTGGTACACGAGAGATGATGTGGCCAACATCAGCAGTTTGGAGTGAATGACAGCCAGAAATGGTGCCTTTCCGGCCTTTATAGGCACTTACCAAAACAGTGCACTCAGCAGCAGTGTCTCCAGGATAAGCAGGGTATTTTTTATTTGCATGTGAGTCAGTGGCTGTGCGTGTCATGGTGGGGAGCGGTAGTGTCGCAGTTAGCTAGCTGCGAACCCGGTGACCCGAGTTCGATTCCTGCTCACGGCCAACACCAGTGACGATTATCTGAACCGGTCCTGGGCCTCCCCTAGATCGACTCTGCCTCAAATGGGTACCAGGTGCGATGTGTAAACATCGCCACGAGGGAGACAAAGGCGGCCGGGCGTGGTGTTGGCCACCCACCCCTTCATGTGCCATGCCGACCTTTATAGGTGCTCGCTAACATCACTTGCCCCAACAGTCTGTTACAGGCTATACGGGGGATCTTTTTCTTTGTTGTGCGTGTCATGGGTTAGGGCACTGCACAACAAACCTGGTGACCTGAGTTTGAATCACGTTCATGGAAAATATCAGTGATGGATATCTGAGTAGGTCCGGGGGCTCTGTAGTTCGACTCAGCCTTAAATGAATACTTGGCAAGGTGCGTAAACATTGGCACAGGGGAGACAAAGCTTGGCGGGCATGGTGCTGATCACAATGCCCCTCGTTCGCTATACTGGCCTTTATAGTTTCTTGCTTATTTTTTTATTATTATATTCACATATATCAATTCTATTCACACTGAAGTGAAATTTAAAGTGAATGGAGACGATGAGAAATTAGGGGTTTCAAATAAGTGTGTATTTGGAATAGTCACGTGGGGATGATTTTAAATGAAGAATACTCATATTGATTATCTCTGAATTAATACATTGAAAGAAAGTTTGAGGAAGTTACATCTAAAATACTGAATGTAATATATGTGTGGTCACGCTTGAAACACAGCCCAAGTACCTGCTTGGGTTAAACCCCACAGTCACCAAGCCGTGTTCAATTTAGACACAAAAGCGTTGCTTTGCACAGCTGCGGACACTTTGTTTCCGACGATGCAAAGCGGTGACTGAACTCGTTGATTTTTTTCCTTCTCCAAATTGCTATTTTGTATTAAAAAAAGACACGTGGACAGGGGTGGCCACATCACACCGGCAACAACGACGACAAAAAATATATTCAGCACTATAACCCCTTAATGTTCACGCCCCCCCCCCCCCCCCGTGTTTGTGGCAATCGAGATGAAACGGAAGGGCTAACGTCTCGTTAATGTGCAGGAATTGACCGGGTTCTTGTGCTTTGCCTGCAGCAACGCCTGTAATGATCATCACGGAGTACATGGAGAATGGATCCCTGGACTCCTTCCTTCGGGTAAAGCGCCGCGCTGCGTTCACGTGAATTACAGGGGGTGTCCGAAAAGTGTATCTCACCGGAATTGAGATGAAATTCTGTGAACCTGCTGTGAAGTTGAGACCTAATTCTCTTATTTTCAGCCTCTTGCCTAATCTCAAATCGAAGTTGAAACACTTACGCGGCCTATCTGGCATTGTTACCGGGTAATTTATCGTCTCGCTTTGAAGGAAGGCAGCATGCATTTCAAATTGAAAAGACACAAGCAAAAGCAGCTGGATAATGCAGAACAGGTGGCGAGCATAACCAATGTTGGAGCTTCATTACACTCAGCTGGTGAAATGTAGCTTCTGTATTCAATGTGGGCTCAACTTGCTGGAGTCGAATGCATTAGGAGCCCAATGGTCCTGTTTTAATGGGCACACAGTACGCACATATTCCAGGCCAGCTTTCCTAGAGACTAATTATGAATGACGACCACGGGACGTGGCGATAATTGCCAATAATTAGCGTCATAACGATGACCCGAATGCTTGTAAATGATGGTGATAATTCAAATTGTCACGGAAGGGGGCTTGTATTTGGCGATTTCCATGAGTGATGCATGTGTTCATGTATGGCCGTGCACGTGTGTTTTCATATGACAGCTGATGATGAAAGTATTGTAATTAATTAATAGATCCATGACAAAGGAGGAAAATATTGATTGACAATCATTGTTATCGAGTGCAGTCAAATTTAATAGTGGGATCATAGTAGTCAGACATATAATTTTACGTGGAAGGTTATATCTATGGAATAATTATTTAGAATCCTCATCCCTTCTTCAAATCCATTGATAGATGAAGACCTCCCCATGCCATGCCTCTTATCATACTTCACCACACTGGCCAGTGTGGGTTGGTGACAAGGGCCCCCCAGTACCGATTCAGATATCACCCGCCACTGATGTGAGCCATGGCCAGGAATTGAACTTAGGCCATGGTGCACTAACTGTGCTATAACCTACACCACAGCTTCCTTCACTATGTATCATGTATGTATTTATAATATAACGACATCAGATGATGCAATATTCAACAAGGTGACTTGATAATGTAATATCCAAAATCAGATTGAATCCTGCATGTTCAATTAATATTATCTTTTGAATCCATTTTGAATGGCTATGATTTTATTACATGCAGCACTATAAAGGCAAGCCTGGAGGCCTAGGACCCTTGGCAATACAGGCAAGTATTTGAACGGCTTTCTAAATTCGAGCAGATTGTAAGTGTCTGGATGGCTGTGCACAGGGACGGAACATCACAGATGTTATAAATCGTTTGAACAGAAACAGGACGGGCAGTTCAGCGTCGGCCAGCTGGTGGGCATGCTGAGGGGCATTGCGGCCGGCATGAAGTACCTGTCCGACATGAACTACATCCACCGCGACCTGGCCGCTCGCAACGTCCTGGTGGACAGCAAGCTGGTGTGCAAGGTGTCCGACTTCGGGCTGTCACGGGGGCTGGAGGACGATCCGCAGGCCGTCTACACCACCCACGTGAGCAGCTCCTCCCCACCCCCCCGCACGCTCCTTGCACAGCCTGAGAACCAGAGTGGGAATGCACACTCACTCACTGAGACTCATCACCACCCAGCCTAGAGACTCACAGTGGAGATTCACACTCACTCACTGAGACTCATCACCACCCAGCCTAGAGACTCACAGTGGAGATTCACACTCACTCACTGAGACTCATCACCACCCAGCCTAGAGACTCACAGTGGGGATTCACACTCACTCACTGAGACTCATCACCACCCAGCCTAGAGACTCACTCTGGAGATTCACACTCACTCACTGAGACTCATCACCACCCAGCCTAGAGACTCACAGTGGAGATTCACACTCACTCACTGAGACTCATCACCACCCAGCCTAGAGACTCACAGTGGGGATTCACACTCACTCACTGAGACTCATCACCACCCAGCCTAGAGACTCACAGTGGAGATTCACACTCACTCACTGAGACTCATCACCACCCAGCCTAGAGACTCACAGTGGAGATTCACACTCACTCACTGAGACTCATCACCACCCAGCCTAGAGACTCACAGTGGAGATTCACACTCACTCACTGAGACTCATCACCACCCAGCCTAGAGACTCACAGTGGAGATTCACACTCAATCACTGAGACTCATCACCACCCAGCCTAGAGACTCACAGTGGAGATTCACACTCACTCACTGAGACTCATCACCACCCAGCCTAGAGACTCACAGTGGAGATTCACACTCACTGAGACTCATCACCACCCAGCCTAGAGACTCACAGTGGAGATTCACACTCACTCACTGAGACTCATCACCACCCAGCCTAGAGACTCACAGTAGAGATTCACACTCACTCACTGAGACTCATCACCACCCAGCCTAGAGACTCACAGTGGAGATTCACACTCACTCACTGAGACTCATCACCACCCAGCCTAGAGACTCACAGTGGAGATTCACACTCACTCACTGAGACTCATCACCACCCAGCCTAGAGACTCACAGTGGAGATTCACACTCACTCACTGAGACTCATCACCACCCAGCCTAGGGACTCACAGTGGAGATTCACACTCACTCACTGAGACTCGTCACCACCCAGCCTAGAGACTCACAGTGGAGATTCACACTCACTCACTGAGACTCATCACCACCCAGCCTAGAGACTCACAGTGGAGATTCACACTCACTCACTGAGACTCGTCACCACCCAGCCTAGAGACTCACAGTGGGGATTCACACTCACTCACTGAGACTCATCACCACCCAGCCTAGGGACTCACAGTGGAGATTCACACTCACTCACTGAGACTCGTCACCACCCAGCCTAGAGACTCACAGTGGAGATTCACACTCACTCACTGAGACTCATCACCACCCAGCCTAGAGACTCACAGTGGAGATTCAGACTCACTCACTGAGACTCATCACCACCCAGCCTAGAGACTCACAGTGGGGATTCACACTCACTCACTGAGACTCATCACCACCCAGCCTAGAGACTCACAGTGGAGATTCACACTCACTCACTGAGACTCATCACCACCCACCCTAGAGACTCACAGTGGAGATTCACACTCACTCACTGAGACTCGTCACCACCCAGCCTAGAGACTCACAGTGGAGATTCACACTCACTCACTGAGACTCATCACCACCCAGCCTAGGGACTCACAGTGGAGATTCACACTCACTCACTGAGACTCATCACCACCCAGCCTAGAGACTCACAGTGGAGATTCACACTCACTCACTGAGACTCGTCACCACCCAGCCTAGAGACTCACAGTGGAGATTCACACTCACTCACTGAGACTCATCACCACCCAGTCTAGAGACTCACAGTGGAGATTCACACTCACTCACTGAGACTCATCACCACCCAGCCTAGAGACTCACAGTGGAGATTCACACTCACTCACTGAGACTCGTCACCACCCAGTCTAGAGACTCACAGTAGAGATTCACACTCACTCACTGAGACTCATCACCACGCAGCCTAGAGACTCACAGTGGGGATTCACACTCACTCACTGTGACTCCGTAAATTCAGCCATGAGATACATGAGACCGAAATTCAGATTCAGAATTAAATATTAATCTTTAAAATGAAGCCTATTTAACTGGGAATCCTGTGTTGAGAATTAGTTGCTGACAGTTCAATAGGGCTGAACTCCAAAACATATCTCAAGAATTAATTTTCATTTTGAGCGTCATTTATCCTGAATTCTAATGTTCAACTGCAACAGTTTTCATGTTAATGCCACTTAATTTATACTCACCACCCCCATCAGCAATGAGGCTCCAAGTGGGAATTGAGACCCACTCTGACTTAGACTCATTACCTCAAACCTTGTGATACACTGGGTATGAATTCACACTCGCAGATGCTGAGAATCAAAACTCAAAGCCTGAATATACTTGCAGTGGTAATTCAAACTTCAGTCTCATTTCACCGTTACGAGACTGGCAGAAAACTGGACTCATATAAATTGAGTTGATGTAAAACTATTGTCGATTCCATTTAACCATCCATGCTGAATTTAATATACATTTATTCATAGTGGTCACCGATACATTCCCGACATACATATTAGAAGACCATTCCAGTGCCCAGCACTCAGAGAAGTCAGCTACCGCATTACATTTGCAATTACGTAATTTGTAAAACCATAGACGATGCCGTTTAACCGTCCATGTTGGATGAAATGTACATGTACGGAGTATATAAGACTTAAAAAATAGAAAATTCGCACACTCATATATATGAACAAAATTGCATATAATTACATGCAACTGTTATATATGTGAACATTTGATATTAATTCTCTACAAAACACAACCCCATAATTTATGGATGACTGAGTCGAAAACACGTATTTATTATTTAACTTATATATTAAACATCTACAAGTACAGGATAACACAGAACCAGGGTACACAATGTCCGGATGGCCAGCAAATACAATTATAACAACACAAGCCCCAAGTTGTAATTTGAACACGGCAGAGAAACAAGAGAAGGGGAAGAGCACACAGGGAAGGATATAAAGCCGAGAAATGCCTTTAATGATATCAACCAGGCTTATGTCTGGATTTCGAAGAAGTTAATTGCTCGAAATTGCAGTGCTGAATTGCTGTTACTATGCAACCATCGTGTGCTTGTTGGAGCGTGGGATGGAGAGCGGGTGGCACTGCTGCGACATCCACCTACTTTAAATTCCCCATCACAGCTGTGATGATAACCGGGGAATATTCCGCATCACAGGATTATTTGCCCACATGTGTAACATATTCTTAGGTTTTTTCGGTAAAGTCACGTAGGTAAAAACATTAAAAAGTTAAATAAAATAAAAATCACGACGTTTCGGAGGCAACACAAGCTTCCGTCTTCAGGTGGTACCGTCACAGCCACGACAGCTGTATCAAGTAAATGAGAGATTGCAGGAGCTACCACTCCGTTTATATAATGGTTGGAGAAGGTGGTGGGACAAGGGCCGCATACTTTTTATTACTATACTAAGGTGAGGCTTAAGACTAAGAATAGACTGCATAACAAAGGCTCAGCCTTTGTTATGGAGAGGTGCGGTTTGTGACTCAACCTGTGACAGGTGAAACCACCACTAAACATGGTAAAACTGTAATGGTAATGGTTGTCTGTGTAACATTCATTGTGAACGCGAATACGGCGAGCTGATGCAACGTCGTTGCGGATTCGCTGGCGCTAAACGCCGGGAAACGTGTTGCCGACGCGCAGGGCAGCAAGATCCCGATCCGCTGGACGGCCCCAGAGGCCATCGCGTTCCACAAGTTCACGACGGCCAGCGATGTGTGGAGCTTTGGCATCCTCATGTGGGAGGTCATGTCCTACGGAGAGAGGCCCTACTGGAACATGACGAACCAGGATGTAAGTCGCCCCAGTGTGTGTGTGTTTTTTTTTAAGTGTCGCTGCCGACTGACAACGGAAAGGTGCATAGAAGTGACTGTCAGTGAAGGCAGCAGTTAAATTGTCTGTAAGTGGCTGATACACAATTACCAACCTTTTTCGCTGTCAGTCAGCTTATACATTTGTCCATGTGTTTATCTTGTACGTATGTGTTTCTTCTCCATCTATCTGTCTGCAAGTTTGTTAGATGACTGCGTATTTGTGCATCTATTTGTCCATCTGTTCATCCATTCCGTCTGTCCATTTGTGCACTATGTATTTATAATGGTAGCTAAGCACAGAGCTAAATTACAGTATGAATAATTGTGGTGGTAGAGCATGATAAGCCTGCATTTAGAAAAAAAATCCAACACAGTCCCTTTATTTTAATATGTAGAGTATATGAATATCTATCTCTGAATATTAATGAGTGAAGTTTGTAAGCTTTTACAGCATGTCATCACTTAGGTGTCATTCCACCCTACAGCCCAATATTGAAAAATAAAAATTCCTAGAAGATGTCCTTTCGCATGCAAATAAATGATTTGATTGCAGACAGCAAGGAAAATGTTTTTATTCAGAGCAAAGGTTGATAATCGGGCGGCCTTCTGCTACGAACAGATGGTCTCTTTATATGGCAACAAAATTATTTCCGGAAGATTAGGGTTGCGGTCAGGGAAGCGAAGGGTTCACAGTACAACTCTCGCTTCATGGCGCAGGTGATCCAGTCGATCGAGGAGGGCTACCGATTGCCGTCGCCCATGGACTGCCCGCCGGCGCTGCACCAGCTCATGCTCGACTGCTGGCAGAAGGAGCGCACTGAGAGGCCCAACTCTGGCCAGATCCTCGTCTACCTGGACAAGCTCCTGCAGAACCCCGCCAGCCTCAATGTTCCCTCGCAGAGCAATGCACAGTAAGTGTGCGCGTGTGTATTTGTCCGTCATCGTCATCACCACCGTCGGCCGTGATTAATCCGCTCTCGAATGAAGACCTCCCCAAAACCATTAGCCATTGCCATCTCTCACGATCCCTGCAATGCAACGCCCCACCCAGCTCCTGCTCGTGAGCTGATTTCATCGCTCCATCTCCGCGATGCATGTCATCGAGGGTGCATTCTCTCTCTTGGCTGCCACTATCATTATTTCCAACCACCTGCCATCATTCACTCTGATGACAAGTCCTGCCAAAACCCACTACTTGTTGCAACGTAAATGTACTTCTGGCTGCAAAGCCTGAATTTGCTCCGTTTGCCGGGGATGCTTGCCCGAATCATTCCTGACTTTTTTTATCAGCTGCAGAGAAGTCTACGTGTTAAACTGAAATATTGTCCGGGGTGAATTATTGTATAGTTGTTTATGTATTAATGTGGTTAATTAGTTAGTTACATTAATTATAACAATATATTTAGCACGTGGTAGTCTAATGTGATGCACTCTCTTAAAGGCTAACTTAAGAAAGACTAATTAAGTATACATTCATAGTATTGCATTCTTTGTTTCTTAACAAACAGGTTTAATAACCTCAGCACATGGCATGCCCCTGTAAATGAAGTAACGGAGTATGTAATGCCCACATCACAATATTCAGCATGCTTTGTTAATGCCATGATAGTGACCTTAGCCCAACCTCGAACGCATGTTAAACAGCTCAGTGGTCAATGCACTGACTGCTAGACCTTCTGTTCGCACTGTGCTCATCAACAGATTATGCAGGATCTCACTACCCTGCTGTAGCTTCCTTTGGCCTCTCATCTGCCTTCAGGCCATAGTATGTCCTCCACTGAGGGTCCCACACCCCTCCAGCCATCAGTTTCAGAGAGATCAACTCATGATGTTGTCTCTCTCCCACGACGAGGACGGCACGTGCTGCAATGTTGGAGATTGCATGAGTCTTCAATCAATTATTCAATCTTTATTTCACGTGCCAATATCACCGAAGGAGCATAAACCACCACGCAAACTCTGGTCATCCTCACAGCAGCTTTTGGCTAGCCTTCAAAAAAAGACGGTCACTGTATCGCTTGCTTTCAGATACGCTTTTGCAGCCGTCTGGAAGGCTCTTCCCATCAACATTCGGAAGACACGTTTAAATCCAGATTGAAAACGAACTTCTTCATGCTTTTTTGTGTTTAGTTTGTTGTCCTTCCCCCCACCCTTCCAATTCACGCAGTCGGCTGTGTACGTTGCGAAAGAAGTTCAGCATACGTACCCCACTCACCCACTCACCCACTCACCCAATCTCACTCATCCACCCACCCACCCACACGTAGAGCAGGGTGCGTGGCTGTCCGTGACACCACGGGTCACTGCCGTCCACAGGGTTTCGGATCCGCTGCTCGGCCAGGCCGTGCCGGGTTACACCACCGTCCGCACCGTGTCCGAGTGGCTGGATGCCATCCACATGGCACGATACCGTGACAACTTCTTGGCTGCCGGCTATACGTCCCTGGAGGCAGTCCGGCACATGACGCTCAGGTGGGTTCCCCCCCCCCCCCCCCTTGATGCCATTGGCCACACAATACTTGGTTGCGCACGCGACTGATAGCGCTGAGCGGTGGCGGGCGTGACGCCTGTGTTGAGACCAGGTTGAGTTCTACGTTGAAATGAAATGCGCAGACTACCCGCATGCCCTCATTGCAGGGGAAACAAATACGAATGGGCATTGTCAGTTGACGATTATTATATTTTAGTCAATACGACTCTTATGTGTGAAGCATGTGCTAAAACAATGCTTAATACCCAAAGATTAATACAATGAGCATGTAAAAAAAAACGAAGATCCTGGGTTTGAATCTTGACTGCCACCTTTGATAAAAACCTGGTTTTCAATTAAGGCGAGTTGTTGGCATGAAAACAACATCAAGTTAAATTAGATGATTCTATTAATTCGGCATCTTTCAGTTCTGAAACATAAAAGGTTAAGTTTGATTGACACGAAGAGCAATCTTTGCTGCCCAATAAAAGCATGCACTCCTAATGTAACTAAAGAGACATATTGAAAATACCTTTAGCAATCCTCTGACACATGGTGATACACTGTTAGCTGCAACATTCGAAATCGACTTTTTTGTCTTATCTCATGACACGCCGCCGATAGCGCAGCTCGAATAGAGCTGGATAAAAGCAAAACGAGGAGAAATCTAATGCTGAACCTCTCTGATTACAGTGACATTCACAGAATAGGAGTCACGCTGGTCGGCCACCAGAAGAAGATTCTTAACAGCATTCAAGTGATGAGGGCCCAGACCCTGCCAGCGCACAGCACAGGCGTATGAGGGAGTCACGCGGCTTCTCCAACAACACGGCAAATGAGCGACACCTTCCACTGACCCACTCCTCTCATCCGCGCTCCACTCGCTTGCCCAGCGCATCATGGACTCTTCACTCACTCACTCCTCACTCACTCACTCACTCCTCACTCACTCACTCACTCCTCACTCACTCACTCACTCCTCACTCACTCACGACGCCACGACGAAGAGAGAGGCAGCACTATTTGTGGCCCATCGGTGGTGTATCTTCGGAAATTTGAAACGTAGTTATGGGGATGGTGATGCCGTTGCGATGGGAATGAAGCGTCTGCAAGGGTTGGCATTGGATGTTCCATCTTGGCGGGTGCTTATCTGAAGGCACGGAGCTGGGAATCCATGTCTCTGCCGCATAAAGAGACACACCACTATGGTTGACAGAGTGCCGTGGCTGAGCTGGCGGGTCATCGGACGTTGAGAAGGAACGAATGGGGATTTGCTCTGTTACCAGACGGCATGCCAGATTCATATTGAATCCGGCTAAGCAAGTGGACTTGTTGGTGTTTTGTTGGAAAGCACATGCTTTGTTCCCTGATCCAGGGATGTGCAAAATGTCTGAAGGACGCTTTGTCTGTGAGATTTTTTTTTTAAGCAAAACGCTCTGGGTCAAAGACACTTTATACTGCTTCTGTAAACTTTGGTGTCAATTCTGAAGAAAAAAAACTGCTCTTGGTTGTGGGGATATGAAAGTGTGGCTATTTGTGTATGCCCAGCTATTTTGTTATGATGTGTCTGTTATGCACAACACGCAGCTCGTTAACACATCCGCAATAGATTAGGCCGTCATCTTTGCCATAGCCACTCGGACAACATTCATGTCATGTTCTGCCTCGGCGAGTGCCATTTGAATGGATGCGCCGTGAGCTATTTCAGCACAAGCTGTCTGCAGGGTTCATAGGCAAAGCTCTAGATTCCTTCCACTGCATTACGTGTCTATAAATTCACAGATGAGACCAAGGTAGGATAACCTGGATGAAGACGTCAGTGTGGATAAGGCCAAAGTGACCTACCTTGGCTTTAAAATCCCCACACGATGGCTGGCCCAAGGCGTTAATGTACATGCATAGATACGGCAGCCTTTCTCGAATGACCTATTTTGCCCACAACTGCCATGAGGAATGTGGAAGCCCTCTGATAAATCACTGAAGCAAATGGAATTGGGAATTTAGATCTAGGTTTCGACAATATCTGGCCACATACATTTATCAGCACTTCTTTACTGCAGAGGAAGCTTTGTAACCTTTGCCTGCTATAGCTTAGCACAGAGTGCACATCAAATATCGTAGAATTGCTTTACAAACCCTCCCATATGATAAACCTGGTTCATATATATTTTTTTATAGAACGTTATAAATAGGACACACCTTAAGTGAAGTAATTAATCTGAAAACCGTAACAATGAGCGATGGTTAATGACCAAACTCATTTGTGTCACCAAGTCACCACTTTAAATACGGCAATTGTCAGTGCATGACAATTTGGAAAGCACTTTTATTTAGGGAACACTAAATACATTTTAAAGAAATTATTCGCACTACTAATAGCTACAGCTACAGGGACCAGTTACTTAATTAACAGTGGGAAAAAAAGAACCTGTCTCTGCCCGATGCAGTAACAAATGCTTAATCTTTTTGCAGCCCAAATGTGTAAAGTGTGATGTGTGGAGAGCGTTCGACTAATTCTCCCGATGTAATTTGGCTGCCTTGGCTCTTTGTTCCTCTGAGCCTCTGGCACATTAACTGAAATACAAGTAACACATGATATGCAATACCTTGTAACCTGACGAGAACAATGGCACCACTGAATGGAATATCAACACTCTAGGGAAGCTTTATTTTAAAGGCTTATCGGACAGAGAATATTTAAATTGGTTTTATCACCACCCAGGATAACACATGGTCTGCACATGCGCATACGGGAGCTTTAATCCGACTCAGGATTATGAAAAATGGCATCACGAGAGACGAGATTAATATCAACAAGCCACTGTAAAGCCACAGCGTTACATGATCAGTAACATGACTTTTGCTTAAAACGATAAGCATATTATTATTGTTGCTTATGAATGAAATGTATATTAGTGTAAAAACATAGCTTAAATTAATGCACACACAGACAATATAAACATTTACACAATGCCAGCAAGTTTGAGTCTCAATTAAAAATGTTTAAAAAGTGTCAACTCCAACAAATGCTTTGCGTGTAACTGACTTACTGTAGATAATAATTGTGCTGAAAAGTGTGCATAACTTATGATATTGTACATAAAAAAAAAACTTTGATCAAGATGTAAATGTTATGGGGGGTAGATATAGGATTTATTTCGAGCCTCTATGTTTGTGTTAGTGTTTGGAATCTATCACTTTTTTTGTTGAAAGCAATTAGCACACACTTTGTGTCGTGATATTTCCGTTCATAGCGATCGCAGGCACATCATTTCTCCACGTGCTACTGTAGCCTGAACAAAGCCCTTGTGCCTACCAGTGACATCGGTCATCAATGGATGTTGAAAACCACCCAATGCGTCAGTTTGTAGTTGGTCAAGGCATGTCGTTTTTAAGATTAGACTTGAATGTGACGGAGGTCCTTTGTATACATTTATTTTGTATTTCATTTTCTATTGTTTCCTGCTCCCACTCCCCCATATCTTCCGCTATGTCTATATTATCTTCATCTGGTTAGAATGCTAACACTATAGATTTGAATAACGATGATAATGTTAAATAAAGCAGCAACAGTAATGATGACTAAATGAAATCTTTATTTATTATAAGGCTGGATTCTGTATAAGGCCTTGTACTGCTCAAGTTTTGTAAAGTATTTTTGTATAATAAATGGTTGAATGGACCTGGTGTCAATGTGTGCCTCACTTGTTACATTCTTCAACGTATAATTAAAAGACACAAAAGTCTACTCCGACTTTAGCCCTGAAGTACCCTGCCACAGTCAAGATGTCCGCATCTTCAGATCCAATACACGTGCAATGTCTGTAATCCGGCTGATGAAATCTGTATGAGAATGGAACAAAACTGGTGGCGTTGGAATGCTTGAGTGAGGAAAGGCGTGAAGCTTCGAATCGGGCAATTTCTTGCGAAAACCAAGACTAAATTCTACCCACATCAACCAAACCAGATTTTGTGCACCATGCTATCTGTTCCTACGCAGGCCAATTGAAATGGTGCATCAGTCATACGTGGAGCGTGGGCAGCAGTAATTGTATGACTAGTCCACAAAAGAACAGCAGCAACAATACAAAAATAATATCTGTGGTAATGAGTACGCATATATTATGCAGATAAGTGTATAATTTAATTGGTTTAGGTTATTAAATATATGATTTTAATATGCATTCAACACAGCCATGTCAGAGGTAGCTGAGTGGCTCAGAGGCCAGAGCACTGAGCCGTTGCGGCTTAGATCTGAGGTCGGAATCCAGGCAACCACCCCTCACTAATCTGGGTTCTCAAGTGTAACGGTACATAATTGGTTTCTTTTGGGTCAGATCGTGTAGGTTTAATGTTAATAAGCGCTATAGCCCTCCACCACCTGACACGGTCAACCAAATCAAGTTGTCGCGTGGGCAAATGTGGCTAACTGTTTTGTTGAAAAGCAAGGAACAATTTTGACCATTGCCACTTATTCCGACCTAACCTAAAAGTAACTATGAATCATAATATCGGCCGTGAATGCCTACATGTGAAATTAAGTATAACAAGTTGATGGTCTCAGCTTAGTCACCAACTATATCACCAAAAAATATTGCATAAAATTCGGTTTGTATCATAGTTTTACTTTAAAATATTTGACTGATGTGCAATGGACATTCTTTGGAAAGCATATCAATGATATATTGAAGTGCTCAGAAGATGTAATTTCTCCACAACTCTGGCTGTTGCCTGATGATGCTCGTAATTTCTAGTGAAATGTCGTACTTGAATTGTAAATGTTGTGGGTTTCTCTCCACACCGGTGTGCCATACGAGTAACGAATGGGCATGTTTTGTCGGGTGGTGGCGGGTTTAACAACGTATTTATATTTACGCGATCTAAACCAAAAACCTATATTATGCTCAGAAGTAGTTCTGCAACATTATCTTCCAGGGCCATTTTCTAACAAATCATGATACATTGCTAGCTGCAGAGTTTAGACTAGAAATAGCCTCATGTCATGAATGCATGCTGATAGCAAACTTGAAATACAATTGTGAACAATACGAAAAAGTGCACTTGATGTGTAAAACTTTTTCAGACTGGTTGAAATCTCTAGATTAACTCATAACCAAACCATACTTGGTTCAGTCCACCTCGAATATAAATAGTAAATTGATGCTAAGTGAAAAACCAAAGTTTTGTTTGCTTTTAATAAAAGTTTCCATGGAGAGAGTCTTCCAAGCCCTGAGCTGTTAGTTAATGCTACAATAATGAGACAATTTCCCACCGGGGCATGCCCAGAAAATTTACGTTTTCAAAATGCTCTCTGTGCAATCACAATTTGTAACACATACAGTAAAGCAAAACGATTGTAAATTTTTTATTTTGTTTGAATAAAATAATTATAATCAGTAAATACAATTTTCTGAAATAAATTATGTGTGCTCTGAAAGCCTTAAAACCAACTAGCCTGGATAGGCAGGGAAATAAGCAGCTGTCTGGATTTTTTTCAAACGCATGAAATGGACAATAACTTTGCAATCAATTTACAAAACAACTCCAGAATATTCAGAGGATGGCTTGTCACTTGTGTTTTCATTTTTGGTGTGTTGCTTTTCATAAAGCATGCGTATATATATTTAACATTATTACCAATCTGCCAAATAATAGTTCCTTCCCCTGTAGTCGTGGTAGTGCATGGCTAATTGTGACTTGTATGACATTGACATTCTCGTTGTACGTAGTTATTTACTTTCTTGCTTATGAAAAAGTATTTTTTTTACCATGAATGACCATGCAAGAATTGAACCCATCTGCTAAATTGTACTTAGCACATTCTTCCAAGTTGGACATTGGTCCCACAGCCATCACAGCTATCTCTGAGTATGTTTTTATTTTTGGTATGTGAACACACAACGGTATATTAAAAAAACATTTGTAATATTTGACAACATTTTCCAGGAGGCACACAAACACTGACTGCTTCGTTATCTCTGGTAAGTTTATACGACACGATATCTTTTGATCTCGCGGGGAATCTGGGAGACTTGACCTACTGAAGGACAATCATTTATCCGTACGTACATATATGCCAATGGCAGAAATTTGTGCGAACGCGCGCGCGCACACACACGCGCGCGCACACATGCACACGTGCACGAACCGCATATTCACACCCAGAGATTACACATCCATCTGCAGGCGATTATGGCGGTTGGGAGGACATTGCGGCAGACGTTAGAAAAGAAAATGCTGTTCTCCTGAGGATCAATTTTCTTGCATTTAGCACCCATGCAAATCACGGGGGAAGAAGCTTGCTGCGTGAGAAAGGAGCAGGTCAGAACAATGCATCCGGCGGGAATGTTTCCCCTAAATTATTCATCCCTGGTGGGAGCGCTTGCCCGTGAATAGGCTGTCTGCGATCCCCCAAAGTCTGCCCACCCAAAAAACCTAAACACTGCGAAAACATTCAGTCATGTACGACATCCGAAAATGCATACGCAATAATAATAGTAGTAATTTACAAACCTTTGCCAAATAAATCCTGAATGAAGACCCCCCCCCCCCCAGATGTCATGTTAGTCATGGTGTTTGTTTGACCAATACTTTACCATGCTGGTCAGTGCAGATTGGTGAACGTGGTGGGGAAGGGTGGTCTTGGCCAGTTCGTATACCATTCACCGATGATCTTAAGCAGGGCTGAGAGTTGGACACATACATCTATATTTGTAGCATAGTACACAACTAACCAATCACTGTTCACTTAGCTATATACACACACACTGAAGACTGGAAGAAAAAATCCTTAAGGAGCTCGAATGAAAAAAATTCAGATTAGAATTCGTATTATCTAAGTGAATATATGTAGAAGTGCAAAAAAATGTACTTGTTAATATCAAACAGTTACATTGAGACAGCAAGCGGAGAGCAGACGCATCCGAAGAAGAGTCAGGCAAGTGTATACACTCTCACCAAAGCGATTTACAGCCTCAGTTGAATATATTTTCTGAACATTCTATAGAACAAATGAAGGCATATGCATACGGCACATTAAGGAAGTAATCGCCATCGCACATTTCGTGATAACAGTGCATGATAACAACAAATGGAAATTAATTACAGAACATTTTTAAAGCGCTGAACAAATAACGCCACAACAATTGGGCTCAAGACACAGATGAGAAAAACAAAAGTGGCGTATAAGTTAGCTGACCTGTAGAAAATATTTGTAGGGGTAACATAACTGACATACGCAACAGCGCACGTGTTGAACGTGGAGCAGAATCGACATTATGATACAATAATTTGCTGTGAGTGCAAGTTGAAGTACGCTTGGATATGTTAAATCTGATCATAAATGACAACATATTGATGTTAATTCTGATAATAAAAGACAACATATTAACGTGCCCAACAAAGCGAGGTATTAATTCGTGAATAGTATCCGCTGTGGCATACAGAGTGAAAACGTGGACAATGACAAAAAAAAACCCGGCACAACAAGTGAAGATCTTCTTGGTTCTTTGTCAAGACGCCCTTTCCCCCCCCCCTTCCAACCCAGCTTATATATATGCTCCAAGCACGTGTGCTGTTTCATTCAGACGCTGTCGCCTCGACAGACCTGGTTTCACTTGAGGACGGCTGCTTGCGTTGTGGCCGAAACGTCGTCAGAATTATTTTATTATGTTTTATTTTTATTATTTTATTACTTCCCTTCTACGTGACTTTACCGAAAGAACCAAGAAGATGAATCCCTGCAGTCACGAAAGCTTTAAATCGAAACAAGTGAAGAGTACACGAATCTGTATGAAGCGATAATGCTGGGAAAGACGCATGGACACAGCGAGAGGGACTTGGGTAACACGACTAGAAGGAATGATGGCTGATGAATGAGGTTGTTGACGGAATAGCAGCCGAAGGAGGCAACACGCTCCAGATTATGACCACCGCGGAGATAGAGAGACGAGATGTGTGGTATTGCAGGACCATACAAGAGGGCAATGGTGAGCGTAGGTCTTTACCCAACAGTGGATAAAACACAGCTTATGATGAATGCTTTTGTTTACAATGTATTTGATAGTCACTTAGGAGTTAGCAACATGTAGGACAGACGGGATAAACAACGACGCATTGAAGTTGTGCACACGCAAATCGTGGAAGGGCAAGGGAAACATCAGTTGTGTTGTTTGCAGGCACATTTCAAAGTCTGGATTATAATACGAATGAATTTACAGCCTTTGTCAATCCACTCTTGGATGAATGTCGCCCCACACCATGCCATTTATTGGGTATCTTTGACCATATCCCCCTAATCTGGTTAGTGCAATATTCATATTGTTAGGTTGTTTCGGTAAAGTCACGTAGGTAAAAATTTTAAATTAAAATTAATAAAATAAAAATAAAAATCACGACGTTTCGGAGGCAATACAAGCTTCCGTCTTCAGGTGGAACCGTCACAGCACGATATCTGTATCAAGTACAGCTATCGTATCAAGTACAGCTATCGTGCTGTGACGGTTCCACCTGAAGATGGAAGCTTGTGTTGCCTCCGAAACGTCGTGATTTAAATTTTATTTTTATTTTACTTTTATTAATTTAAATTTAAATTTTTTACCTACGTGACTTTACCGAAAAAAACCTAAGAATATGAATCATTGCAGTCACGAAAGCTTCAAATCTGGTTAGTGCAAGTTGGTG